CAATCTGGATATAATTGTAAAAAAGTAATACAATATTTAAGCCATTAAATCAGAAATATAAAGTTTTTAGCATTATTTTCTATATAATTAATGCCAGTGTTTTAAATGTGTTACTTAAAGTATATTTTTTTAGCTGGACTGAACTGTAAAGGTGGCGCACAGGATGATGATGATGATGATGATAATGATGGTGATAACAGAATTTTTTATTTTGGGGTGAACAATTCCTTTAAGTGACTTCACACAGAATTTTTTGTGTTTTTCTTTGTAAACATGCACTTAGTGGACGTATTTAACCACTGCGACATGCCTCACTGAAGTCCGATGCTATGAGCGCCATGTTTTCGAGACACTTTGTCAAGTTAAGAGAAGTTCATTTTGATTAATTTCCATTCCACTGAGTCTCAAACGTAATGCTTATGGCACGAGACTCTTGAAAACCAGCGAGACACGTCGCGACTGTCAAAGACGTCGCTCTAGTGTGCATTTAAAAATGGCACAAATGCACGAACACGTCTTGCATGAACGGCCTGCTGCGACTTGGTGCGAGCTGCTGAGTGATGGAGTGATGTGGGATTGTTTGTTCTTTTATATTCTCTCGAACTCCTACTTCTGTTCTCTCAGTCTGCTCTTTCCTCCTCTCATCCTCCACCTCGCGCTATTTCTCATGCTTACACTCCTCTTCTCTTTTCACAGTGTGTCTCTGGGGATGATGCCGTTGCCGCTGGTGCCACTCTCCCTGTCGCCATGACGATGCCGCTCAGCCCCCTCTCCAGCGACGAGGAGCAGCAAAGGATGCTGGGAAACAGTCAACACCTTTATCCAGGGGCGGAAGAGGAAGAAGAAGAGGAGGAGGAGGAGGAAGAGGAAATGGATGATGACGGCATGGACGAGGAAGGCGAGGAGGAGAACGGAGAGCTGGAGTTGGATGATGAAGAGGACGTAGACGACGAAGATGACATCAGGCGAGGACCAGGGCGTTTGAGAGGAGGCAGGGAAAAGGGGCACAGGCAAAAAGGCACAATGGCTGGACGACTTCCAGGAGACAGACCGCTACGACCCGGCAACCCGGGCCACACGGCCACCCCGTATTCGTCCAACCCTGGACCCACCCACCAAGCGCCGGCTAATCAACAGCAGCATTCCTGATATCAAACAGACGGTTAGTCACACACACACACACACACACACACACACACACACACACACAAAAACCCACACTTGTTTTCCAATTACCCACTCATACGCTATGCAACATCCGTCTTTTTCTAACCATGCCTGGTTGAACCCACAGCATACATATTAACCAGGCAGTCAGAGCGCCGCAGAACACTGTTCAAAGAATCAATTAAGTGAATACTGGGAGTGATACAAGTTTATGACAAGTATACAAATCTAAAAAAGGGGGCACGAATGAATTACACAGACTTGGAAAAGCTGTTCTCAAGCGCTCAATGCCATCTCAAACAGTCTGGCGCATGTGCTCTGCTATGGCAGGTCAGAACTTGCTCTCCCAGATACCTCTTGGTCAATACACATGACCTCTGCTGCACAAAAGACCTGCTATACTTACACTTTCTTCCCTAGCAGTACCTTATACATATATAAAATGTGAATAGACTTTAAAATAGATCCCAGAGCGCAGCAAGTTGCCAGTAGGTGGGCCACACACTCAACAAACACACATTTAGTGCTGCGGCTGCCACCACGAAGCAGAAGTGTCATTAGCACTTTCAATAAGTTTGTTTACATGCACTTTAAAAGTTGGGTTTTAGTTGGTCTAAAGGCTGGAATACATTTTCGATTTTCCTCCGATTTACCGTCTGGACAAGTTGATGCTAGTTGCCGAAAGTCAGAGCAGATTTGAGTTGACAGATTCCATAGAAAATGAGAATGGGTAACACGTTTCTATCTTGATACTTTAGATCAGTCGTGGGCCCTGTGTCTCACCTGGCTGCCCGTTGACAGCAACATTGCTCAAAAAGTTGGCCAGTGTATCATCAGCCTGATTCCATCCAGTCGGAGGATATCAAACATGTTTGATATTTTCAGCCGATTTTAGAACACATATTGTTTTCATTTGTCATGCATCTCCTAGCAACAAGGCACACATTTATGCATGAGTTTGTTGTGATCAGAACAACTTCAAAGTCTGCTATGTATGATCCTCAGTTGTTTAGTGTATGATGGCCCAGCAACATTGCTCAAAAAGTTGCCCAGTGTATCATCAGCCTAAGTGTATGAGGCCTAGTGTTTTAAAAGTCTGTTCAGAATTTAAAAGTTGTAGTAGTTGTAGTGTATTCCAGCCTTTAGCTTGATTATGACTGCATATGAATACTTCCTTTCTAAAGTTTGGGATCAGAAGAAATTAATACTCTTTCTATTCATTAAAGAGTCCTGAAAAAATGTATCATGGTTTCCACAAAAAAAAAAAAATTTGTTTAATTTTTTTTTAACATTGATAATACTAAGAACTATTTCTTGAGCAGCATATTATCATATTAGAATGATTTCTGAAAGATCATGTGACACTGAAGACTGGAGTAATTATGCTGAAGATTCAGCTTTTCCATCACAAGAATAAATTTACATTTGAAACTATATTAAAATACAGTTAAATACGGTTATTTCTTAGTTGTAATAATAGTTCACTATTGTCTTTACTTGATCAAATAAATGCAACCTGGATGAGCATAAGAGACTTCTTTCTATCACAAACTTTAGAATGGTTGTGTAAATGTAGTTAGTGGCTCAGTGATCCAACTGAACTCAGTTCAGTTACATTCAGATTGGTTGGTTCCATCAGAACTAAATCCACTGATTCACCACTGAAAATTTGATCAGAAGCATCACGTTTCTCAAAACCATCGTGAGATAAGTTGATTGTAGAGACCATTGGTGGTAATGGTTCTATAATATACTTGGACTTACACTGCGTCTACACTTAGTTATTATGGGTTCTCATGTGTCGCATCGCGCTGCTCGAGCCCGGTGTAGACACGGTGTTATGATGCTTTTGGGAAACGCAGCCCTGGTCACTTTACTTATTCAGGATTTGGTATTGTCAGAAAGAGTTTCAAATAAATCACTGACATGTCCAGCTACTTTGAACTTTTAAACTATACAATATTTCACACTTCTCTTGATATGGTATATGATTTTACTGGATTCTGATTGCTCAGGAATCTGTATTTAAATATGGGCTGACGCTGGCTGGATCTGCTGAAATTGCCCTCCAGCATACTCTCATACGGTCTGTGTGCGCTTGCACGAGTGTGTGTGCTTGCATATGTGTGTAAGTAGATTTTATCCAAACTTCTCCTCCATACAGATGTGCAAACGTTGGCAAAATTGTTTTTTTTTCCCAGATAAAGCAAAAAGAAAGAGCAAAAGAGAGAGAGAGAGAAGAAAGCAAAATGAAAAAAACAAAACAAACCAAGGGAAAGTAAGTACAGGGACTCTAGTTAAACATCCAAATGGCAAAAATCCTTCCCAAACAAAATCCTGTAAACAACTGTATGACTTTCAAATAGAAACAGACTCAAGGTAACCTCAACGGTTTTAGATGGAGAGAAAAGGTGGGGAAAAAGGATTTAAAGTAGCCTAGTGTGTGTGTGATGGTATTCAAGTGAAGCTCTTTTTCACAAGACAGATTAAGAGGTTCAGTGGTTTGAGGAATGAAATCACTACTGTTGTAATCTGTTTATTGTACACCACAAATTAAAGCAGGCACTTTTAATTAAAGTCACTGTGGAGACAGATTAAGAGGTTCAGTGGTTTGAGGAATGAAATCACTACTGCTGTAATCTGTTTATTGTACACCACAAATTAAAGCAGGCACTTTTAATTAAAGTCACTGTGGCCATGTTTGCCGAAAGGGATGCAAACGATGGCGCTGTTTCCTCCAAGACCAGAAACACACGACAGCATCTAGTACTCTACAGTATGTATATAGTTGTGCTTCATTCCGTTGAATGACAGTACTGAGGTTTACTTTCCCATCATGCTCCCTGGACCGTCCTATAGCTGTGGCAGTTGCAGGAGATTAATGATTCATGAATAATGATTATGCTTGATAATTGAATTAAAATGGGTAGACCTGGGCCCAGAGTGTTCTTTCAGTGGAAGTCAAACTGAAGGCAATTTTGCTGTCTCGCTGCCCAGTTGACCAGTTACTCAACAGAGCATTTTGATTGCCTTCTAAGGCACCGTAATATCATTTATACCAGTGTTATTTTAGTGTTGTATATATACTGTTATAGTTTTATTAATATTTTGAATTATCTTTTATGTTTATATTTTTAGTGTTCATTTTAATGTTCATTTTTTTGTAATTTTATGTGCTTTTGTTATTTTAAAATTTGTATTAGTTGTGTTTTTAAATATTACTAAATAGTTTTTATTGTACATTTTTTTTATTAATTTTTATTTCAGTTTAAGTTTTATATCAGTTTTAGATTTCAGTTAGCAATTTTAGTTTATTTTAGGTAACAACATTTTTTGTCTAATATTTATATTTTATTATATTATATTTCAGTTTTACTTTGATTACCAAAACTTTTTAATAGTTTTAGTTAAAGGGGTCCTATTATGCTCTTTTACAAAGTCTTGATTTTGTTTTGGGGGTGTACTAGAACAGGCTCTCATACTAAGTTGTTCGAAAAACACATTATTTTTCACATATTTTACATTATTACAACCTGCCTTGGGAAAGCTAGCGTGTCTCCGACATAGTGATAACACTCGTTGCCTTCTCTAGTGCAGCTCATCCAGGTCTCGTCCCATTCGTCAATCTTTGTGATATCACAAATCCTGGAATATATGCATTGTAGTCCAAACGAGTCGTTCGTTGGTAGTTTTTGAAAAGTGATTTCTGTTAAATAAAATATCTCCTTTTGAAGTGGACTTTGAGCTTTGTAACTTTGCAGATCTTTTTTTATGCTCAAACAGCAACATTACAGACTAACTAAGTCTGTATGGTACCTTGATGTCATACACCGATCGGTCTGCACACGCAAACAAAGCCAAAACCTAGATATTTTAGGCAATATAGAAATCCTGGCAAGGACGCGTCCTGGAAAAATGGCACGTATGGTCACCCTATAATAGGACCCCTTTAATAAGATCTGATCAAGGCAAGGCAAGGCAAGTTTATTTATATAGCACATTTCATACACAATGGCAATTCAAAATGCTTTACATAAGAGGAAGTAATATAATCATTAAAAATAAAAATAATAATAATAATAATCACAACAATAAAAACAAGGAATTAAAAAAACTACTGTTAGTAATGTGCTCTTAACACAAACAAACATTCTCAAGCTTTGTTCAACATCTTCCCCACTAAGTGGAAAATCCTCCTAACTATACCTAAATACCTAACTATTCCACTACTTCACCCCCTACTTACTTTGACCATCATAAACCAAACAATGGTCAAAGAATAGTCCTACTTTCAACTGATCAACCAACAAACTTGTCTTTCTTTGTCCATTCTCTTTACCTCTTTCACAGCAGTTACTTTAACCTTCTGTTTAAACTTTTAAAATGATTTAAAAATGGATTTAAAATTAACTCCTACTTTCAACTGATTAACCAACAAACTTGTCTTTCTTTGCCCACATTCTCTTTACCTTCACAGCACTTACTTTAACCTTCTGTTTAAATTTTTAAAATGATTAAAAATGTTTATTTAAAAATGAATTAAAACAGTTAAGAATAGAAAATGATTATACATAGAATACAGTGGCATCAATTCGGACATAGCACAGTGCTCATTCAGTAAATGCGCAGATAAACATGAGTTTTGAGTGGATTTAAATGTGGCTAATGTTTTAGCACATCTGATCTCTTCTGGAAGCTGGTTCCAACTGCGGGTGGCATAATAGCTAAAAGCGGACTCTGCTTGTTTTGTGTGAACCCTTGGTATTTCTAACTGACTTGATCCTAATGATCTGAGTGGTCTGTTAGGTTTATATTCAGTGAGCATATCTGCAATGTATTTAGGTCCTAGGCCATTGAGTGATTTATAAATGAGTAAAAGTACTTTAAAATCAATCCTAAATGTAACTGGAAGCCAGTGTAAGGACCTGAGGACTGGTGTGATATGCTCAGATTTTCTGGTTCT